AAAAAAGTTAGAGGCAAATAAGTGACCCCACCAATTGTCGGTCAACCACCTTAACCCCATATTCTTTGTGTTACTTCAAAAATGACCAACTCCTACAATCCAAAAGAATCTATTTCTTATCAAAACAGTGTTTAATGGTAACTTTGATCAATTTCAAATGCAGCTACATATAAAAAATTCAAAAAGAATTGCATGCCTTCATGAAATGTACTCACATGAAACACATACTCTCCCATTTTTGATGTTTTGAGAAATCCCATTTTACCTCTTAATTGCTTGAATTTATACATCTATAGCTTGTTTGCAAAAAGAAAACCTAATCTATTTTTCAGGATATATTTATTGTAATATACAAAAACCCCTCTTGCATCAAAGGTTCAAGAAGAAGTGTCCTGAAAATTGCAGTTATCTACCCTACCCCTCCAACCATTACCTGATTCTATAGAAAATATACTGTGGAAATCTGATTTTACTGACTGTCCTTTTTCTGAGTATATTTCCATTCAATTTCAATGTATCTGAGTGATCAAATACATGCATTTGATTCCCCTGAATAATTAAAGTGATCATTCTGTCCTTACTTGGCATTTGTGAGTAAATTTCAGGTGTTTAGTAGAATCCAATAATTACATGAAAATGTACATATTTCTGATATTTTGTTCATTAAATATGCAAAAAGACCATCTGTTTTGTTATAATTTAAAGAAAAATATATAATCTATATGAAAATAATGAAAAGTTTAAGTTCAATCACATTATAGAAGACAAATGAGGGGGAAAATGAAGGGGAGGGGGTATTTTTTTATGTAATTATCAATAGTAAGATGGGTCTAATTTGAAAAAAAAATAAAGCACAGCAATTCTTTGAATAAATGTGGTTCTGTGAACTGATATTTTTGCATACTGACTCATTCTTTTCTCAAAATAATGATATTTAGTGAAAATACATGTAAAAAAGAGTAAGTTTATAATTTGTAATTTCAGTGATATCGCAATACTAGTAACTGAGCCCCTTTAATTTTAATTAATACTAAGTGATTGCATCAAAATTTGATAAAATATATGTGACAGTGCCCAAACTATCATTTTCAAACAAATAAATTTTTCTCAGACAAAAATTGCCTTACTCTGTTAAGATTTGTTATGCTGATGCTTCAAATTCTTTGAAAATGTGTACTGGGAAAGGTTTACCCCCCTTGTGTTTAGGTCTCTCTACCTAAATGAATAAGAGTCAAATGAAAGAAATATGGTGAGTTTTGAAAATGGCATACATCAATAAACTTATTTAGAGAAGAATTAGACTAAATTACATATTTCTGAAAATTGGTGTTTTCTTGAAGTTGGCAGAGGATAGTTTTTTTAAATGCCAAACATGTGCCGAGGGGGTACACATATACATGCGATCCATAAAAACATGTACATGGGGACAGTTTTCCAGGGGCTAATTAATTACACTTCATATGCCCATGGCTCACAAATTATGTCAACAAATTACATGTAATTTGCCTAGTAGAGTGCACATGTACCAAAAATACACCTGGGATCTCCCCAAATTTTGGCTTGTTTTTCCAAGATTTGGGCCTCAGTCGCACCCATACAACCCACCCCCAGGCCCGAGCGAGCAGGATAAAACACCCAGTAGTCTATATATCAATGCATGCCCTAATGAAAATTCACCAATTGATATGGGGCCATTCACCTTCCCTCTGAGATACACACCTTCTTCTAAGGCCTACTGCATTTCAGTGAATTTCCTCTGCAACTGACCATGTGTCTTAGGTTCGCATTTACAACTCTGTATATAAGCATCATAGTGACACCTACATGTTGCACATCATTTATTTCAGCAAGCACTTTGCTACACTGCAAATGTGTCCCATAATTATTATAATCATTTTTCTACATAAAATATCACATCAAACAGGGGATATCTAAATTTTTAAAGAAATTTGACCGGGTCTTTAGTACGAAACTATCCCCTGCCACCTGAACAACAAAACCTGCTTGAAAAAACATGCAATAAACAAACTAAATTTGATCACATATTTGTAAGTTTTTCTTTGGGAAAACTTCCATTACATTTTGGGAAAATACAGGCATATTTTCAGCTGGGACTGGGGCCGAATTTCGGCCCCAAGTCGGCTCTAAAAAAATCACTGACTGCACATTTTATCTATATACAGAACATCAAATGCTCGTATTTATCCTTTCTTTTCCTGCTGCTAGTACATGTACCCGATATTGATTTCTTATCTGAAGCCATTTGAATGTGTCTTGTCAGTGACCCGTGATTGTTAAACAATTAAAGTGTAACTCTTATAAAAACAAAATTTTAATTATGAGATTTTTTGCATTCAATCAATACAATTTAAAAATGATTGATATTAATATCAGAAAGAAACACCTTTGAATTATGCTCATAACCATTCCCCAATTTACATGTATTTATAAAGTTTTATTATTCTTCATTAATTGGTAGTTGCATTATATGAGATCTGAGATCTTACGAAATTGCAGGTTGAAACTTTACAATTTGGATCCGACATCTTTTAAAGTATGCCAATGCATGTTTGTCGAACAACAAAATTCCTTTGAACAATTAACAAAGACCGGTTAAGCCTTTCCCTGAGTTTGAACACTGATACGTTAATAAATGAACTGAGCAGATCCAATTTTTTTTTTACATTGAATTTAAGAGTAGCAAATTTTAAACGAACAACCGACTTAACAAATTTTAGTCGATAGTCAATATGATTGAATGATAGTCGAGTACTCGAATATTCATTGACACCCCTAATGAAACCATCAAACAGAGTTCAAAGATACTGTCACATTTTCCGTGTATTATTTGTAAAAAGTACTCTATTAAATAGATGTTTACTTGCAGTCAATTTTGAGGATGTAATTACAAAATATAATATAAATAGGGATTAATTAGGAGTTTTTTTTCATGATTTCACAAAGGAAATGCACATAACTTATACATGTAAAAAATTTATTAGGGATGGCAATGGTCAACTGGGTAACCATCTAATCAGTCAGAAATATAGTAACCGGTTTAGTATGGGATGACGGGTTATGATTTTCATAACTGGTTAGTTGGTATTTTTTGTATAATATGTACTTTTTAAATAATATATCAGTATACATATTTTTTTTTAAAAAAAATTACCACTTAGATCATGTAGATAGCATGTGTAAAACTAGTCTCATTCAAGCAGATGCTCGACTGTCTCCATAAACTCCTGCTCACTGGAGTTTACGGAGACAGACAAGCATCTGCTTGAACGAGATTAGTTTAAAACTGAAAAGTTGCTTTGACTTATTAAATTATTCACAATATACAGCCACTGTGAAAACAAATCCCCATTATTTTGTCATTACAGTAAAACATGCTTATAAGTGCCAGGGACAAATAATTTTGATTCATTATAAATGTATTCATTTTTCAGTTTAGTTTTCAGTATGTTTTAAAACCACAGGGAATGAAAATCACTTCACTATACGCTTCAATTCCTTATTTAAGTCTGTTCGCAGTAAGCATGTTTTACTGTATAACCCAAATACCACTCTAAGTTTACATACCCCAATCATAAAAATTCTATTTTCTAATTTCAAGAACTAATTTTTTACTAAACAATGTTTTACATGGTAATTAATCTAGTTCATTATCTGTAATGGTAGCCTAGTTGTAGGGCATTCATTTTGTAATCAGGAGGCCTGGGCTTGATTCTCATTTGCTGTGTCAAACCTAAGACATAAACATATAGGTAGTGAAGGTTCCTTCACCAAACGCTCAGCATTAGAAGTAAAAGTCAAAGGTTTTTCAGATGAGACCTTAAAAACCTCACAGTAGATGTTGGGACAATAAAGAACTCTCACTGCTCAATGGGCCTTAGTGCCAAGTATTAAGGTCTATGTTTGAAGCCCTTCACCAGTATGTGGTAATGTCTCTATACGAGAGAAAAATTCTCAAGTAAGATGTAAAACAACATACAATCAATCAAAGTGTCAGTAAGAAGCTGATCCTTACGTCGCAGGTTCGAATCCCACAGCTGGATGTGGAGATAGGTTCCTTGGATGAAACCGTATGAACCGAGGTTCTGTGTCACAGAAGGTGCTGGCACGAAAAAGATCCCTCACTTCCCAAAGGCCATAAGTGTCAAGTACAGGTCTATATTTGCAGGTCTCCACCAGCAAGTGGTGGCATAATAATATGACTAAAAAAAATCTGAAGGGGCAATAAACAAAACACAAATCAATCCTGCAGTCTTATCACAGAAATAATTCAAACTTTTATGTATAAATATATTTCCAAATTTCTTTTGCAATTTAACTGAGTGACATTTTTAAGATTTTCCAATAATAATACACATTTACTAACTGGGTTCGAGAGCAACATGTGTTTTGTCAGACCCAAGAACCAAACTGTTTGCCTGAGACCATTAGGCCGAAGGGAAACAGTTTGGTTCAAGGGGTCAGCAAATTGCATTTTACCCCCGAGAACACGGTAAATAAATGTTTTGTTATATCTTTTACTTTCTTTTTTTGTTTGACATACATGTATTTTGTAGTGGCTTCCGTGATGTAAATTTCCTTTACCAGCACTGAGGTAAAACTCTGTCAATTCCGTAACTTTCGAACATCAACGAATGCAAATGAGATTTAACTAATCCCGCGCATACTGTAATATGTAAGCAGTCCAATGATCTCATCGACAGGTTCAATATCTCACTTTGCGGTTCAACATAGATTTTTTTATGATTGCTCATAAAACCTTGGAAATGTTAGACATTTTGAGTGTACACTGGTATAGATTTATATAAGAACAAACTTTTAAAGGTATAACAAATTATAATATTAATTAAGTAAGGCCCTAGTTATAACAGCTATTCATACTTGTTGAAGAATATATAACAATAATTATCATTTTTATATATGTAGTATGTTAGATAGTGTATTGTTGAATTTTTGCATTTTTTTTGTTTCAATAAAAAAAAATAAGTAGGCTTGCTAAGGCAAAGGGACATAACTCGAGCTTCTCTATTTTTATATGTCTCTGACGTCAGACACATTTTTGACATCGGGGTTAGTTGTCTTTTACGGCTTATTTCTAAATGAATACGAACGCTGTGTTCCGAATGATCAAGGAACTATTTTTGGAGATGCTCCTAGCGCATGCCTTTAGCTAGAAAGACCGTAAAGCACGTGTTTACTAAGGAAAACAACGAGGAGAAAGCAAACGGTAAGTGTGTTTTGACTCACAAAATGTGAAAGCACCTATCTAACTATGAAATTTTAAATATTCAATGCTTATTGTTGCTATTTATAATAAAAAGCAGATGAAAGACGCAAGACAATATCTGTATTTTAACGAAAATTTAAGTGGTGTGTTGATGGCCTCGTTTCCGTTCAGAAATGGCGGCTCCCATTGCAAGCATCATTTTCACACTCATTTCAGCCTTTTTCAACTTAAAAAATGTATCTAATATGTTTTAATTGAAGTAGTAAAACTGTTTTTCATGTTATCTAAAACAGTAAGAGTATAGAGTAGCTTTAATAAGATTTACATGGTTTCGCCAGAATGACAACAGAGAAAATTCGAAATCCAATATATTGCATTTGTTTTCTTCAATTCTTCAATGAGTAAATGAAATGATGAATGGTAGGTGTTTCAAATATTGTAATGGCATTTATTCACAATTTTCAACAGATCAAGAGTATGTCAAGAAATTTAAACAAGAATCTGTATCAAATAATTGAAAGCAGGCGAATAGGATATTCTGTTCAACAGTATTACTTTGTTAAAAGAATTCTGGATGGTCGTTTGCTTATTGACAATTGTTCGGATTATGCCAGGAAATTACTAACCCTATTGAACAAATTTACTAAAGAAGTATATGCGGACAACACCTATGTCAAAGTAAGGGAGATTTTTGAGACTAAGGTAGAAGACTATCTCCATCAAACAACTGACTATTTAGAAACATTTATTGAGGAGATAGCTGAAGACGTCTTTTTCAGGAGGAAAAAGAAAACGATTGGTTTCACTGACATACCGGAAAGCATATATGAAATAAATCGAGCAGCACTTGAGAACAAAGGAATCAAAATGACTGTTTTAGATGACTGGGATGCCATTTGTTAAATAATCCTCCCCATCCAAAAAACAAATGTAAAAAAAAAAAAACATGCCACTAAGCAACAGAGAAGCTTTAGACCTTTTTGAAAAAATAAAGCAGGACAATATACCACTCTGTAGAATAGATCAATTTTTTCAAGTGTACGTGGCAAAAAATGAAACTATTAATTCAGATGCACTGATTAGGAAATTGAGACGAACAAATGAAAATTTAAAAAAAAAAGAAGGGAAAATATAGAACTGAATTTGAAGTTTTACAATTTGAAATTCCAGTAGGTACCACAAATGCAAGTAATGTTAAGAAGTCAATAGTGGAATCATTTGAAACAGAGGCTGCAAATATGGCTATCAAGTCAATGGAAAATATTTTAAAAGAACAACAAATTGAAATTAAAAATAGAGAACTTCTTTGTGAAGAACAGATAGAGGCATCTAAACACCTCCAGGCAGAGACCTTGAAGTTGAATGCATGGCAGTTGAATGCATGGCATTCCAGTTGTACAATGTATTTCTATTATTAGAACTTTTGGGAAAAGGATGATGTTCAAGTTGCTACTTAATTTGTTGGAGTACAAACATTTTTTTTAACTGTTTGATTTTTGTTCTCAATTCAGGTACTATTGAAAAACTTTTGAAAGTTGCAGGCATGCCAAGTTTGTTTTGTTTTTGATAGTTGTTGTTGCCATTATTTTCTCAATTCTTAATCAAATTTTTATGTTGGTGTTGGATGTTATATAACAATTGCATTTACACTTCATCACTGAAAGAAAGAGAAATTAACCATTTTAATTTCACTAAAGAACTCAACAATATATTTTTTTAAAAAGTCATTTAACTCATATAAGTTGTTGTAAAGGTTTAAATAGCTCATAAAATATATACTTCTACTTTATTTCAGACATGTTAGATGGTAAGAAATGGTTTTTCATGGACCCCACATGGCGCATACAGACGACGTTAATGCTGTTCCTTGTTAATTTTTGAAGGTAACAAATGGTTTAAGTCTTGCTGAGTTTTCCCTCCTGTGTATTAATTGACTTAAAATATCACCATGAATCAATATTTTTTAAATTTTTTTTTCAGACACTGAGGAAAAGAACTCCATAAAGGCCAGAATAGCCTGATGGCCAGATTAGCCGGACGTGTTAATTAATTTGTTAATTAAAAAATAAAAGTGTTTGTTTAAAAATTCAAATTGCATATTGTTGTTTTATCATTTGGCTTGAGTTTTGTACCAAGAATATTTTTTTCTTGGTTGTGAAAAGGTATGAAAATGAAGGTGACAATTTGCCTGTAAAAATTAAATTGTAGGCATTGAAATTGCAAACTTCAATTTTTTTTTAAAAATCATGGATGTTAAAAATCTTCTAATACAATGCATATTTAGTTTACACTACTGGCTTTCAAAACCCCTGTCCGTATGAAAATCCCCTGTCTTTCTCTGTAACCTACAGCATTTCCACAATTATCTACGGTATATCTACAGTCTGGTACGGTATGTCTCCTCTGCATATACTGTAATTCTCAGTATGCCACTGTATGTATCCCCAGCACGCCACAGTTACCTACAGTAGGCCCCAGTACGCCTACGGTAGGCCCCAGTATGGCTACTGCTTCCTACAGTGACCTACGGTATGCCACAGTATATGCCCCAGTAGGCCCCTGTATTGTTCACCGAAGCAAAACGGAAGAAGTATACACACTTCCAGAGGCACTGTTTGTCTAAGATGTGAGGTTGTCAGTTCAGTACACAGGGTTTCTCCTTTGAGAAACTTTTGAACATTATTTTATATACATAGTAATAAAACTGAAGTCAACTGATACGGGTCTCGTGATCCACATTAGGCAAAAATTCACGCATATCTTATTGCCACAAAGAAAATATCGAAATGGTCAATAATGTTGACTGATCGCTCTGAAGTATACATTTCTTGCTGACAAAATAATAAAAATACGCTATAAACATTAAAACTGTTATAATTATTAATTTATACGTACATTTCATTATGTTTAGAATTGTTAAGAGACATAAGGTTATCCTGTAATTCTGAAAAGTTTACAAATCACTGCTTCAAGCAAAAAAAAAAAAAAAAAAAAAATCATCAATTAATGAATTTCATTCATTATTCTTTCATTGTTTATTTATTCATTCATTCATTTATTTATGTATTTATGTATTTATTTATTTGTATGTTAGTTTATTCCTTCATTCATTAAAAAAATATTCAATTTAAAACATCAAATTGGGAAGGGCATGCATTACGACCAATAATTCTGCAATGAAGATTTTCTTCACTTATAGTACGGCTACATTAGAGACCTAAATGTATATACTAATATATAATATGCTCCTGGCTAGTGGCTACATGTGCTTGTAAAATATATTCCTTGGTGTTTTAATAAACTTGAACACGTCGTGTAACTAATGACCTATATCCTTAGTATAAAGGTCCCTGGTGTAAGTAAATCTCACCGATGCATATATTTGAAAAGCAATCCGCGTCGATACAGGAATGTAAAATTTATTTTATTTAGATTTTCTGCCTGCTCAGCGAGAAAAAAAGTCTTTTAATCTTGGTAGATGTAACCATTCCAATAAATGAACATAGCTGTATACGTCAGCAGTGGGTCTGTCATAGTATCTAATGACATGGTATCTTTAGGTAACACAGCTCTTTTTCTTTATTGTCAACCGATTTTTTTTTCATTTGACCTTTGTTCATTATCTTCAACTTTAACATTTTTTTTTGACAATTATATTCTACATAATAACATGCTGTCCAGTCGCGGATCCAAGAATTTTTCCAGGAGGGGGGATATTCCACCCCAATTCCAAAAAAAAAATTAACGCAAATTCCATTTCCTTAACGTGAAAAAACCCTATAAATTTCGTGATGGGATCCACGCTTTCTGAAGGGGGGGGGGGGGGTTCAAAGTCATTTTTTATTTGCTTCAATATAACTTGTTCGGAATCCCCCCCTTCTAGGTTAGAGCATGTTGTCAGTATTAATTCTAATTGGAGAATTCAATATTAATTGTATAATACAAGATCATTTTATGCAAAAGATGCACAAGTAAATTATATGTAATTGCTCAATGGGACGGACAGTGAATTGTGTAATCTGTATAAAAACTGTAGACATGATTTTCTAAGAAATATTGGCATTTTAAATTTACTAAATAGCGATTTAAATGTTCTATTCAAATATCTATTAACTCATTTCCCACGTCAAACTGCGAGTATCATATATAATGCATATAACATACACTGTAAGACAAAGAAAAATCAAACGCATGTAATTGATATATATTGCTAAAAGTGACTTATAGGTCCGATGGGCCGGGTGTTGTACATATATGCTTATTTGTCTAATGAACGTAAAATTATTGTATACACAAGTCACTATAATAAAATATTTACTTACTTATTGTATATAATTTTAAAGCAAAATTCATGCGAACCCCCCCCCCCCCTTTTTTTTTTTGCTAGGGGGCAAAAACATCAAAGGGTATAACTACAAATATGTTGAATGTCGATCAAATAGTATAACTACATCACAAATGTTTCATCATAATGTTACGGGATCGAGATCCGGAAAAACTCCTCAAAAGAAATCGCAAGAGGCTGACCTTGACAGATGAATTAAACGAGGACGCATTTTTCTTCATAATCATCTTTCTGAATATATTATAGTAAGTACAAGCTGTAGTGTGTGTTTCTCATAGTGAATCCTAAAAGGTGCAATTGTCATGATTGTGCGGGACTTCATTACTTTTTTTATTACTCAGTGGACACTGATTGCCACAGGAATTTTATCAATAAAGTCAATAGAATCACTCGATTGACCAAGCATGAGCTATGCGTTCGCATATTCGCTGTGCTAACGCATACATGTAGCTCATGCTAGGTCAATCGATGCAAGGTCAATCGAATGATTTAACTTTATTTATAAAATTAACTTTATTGATAAAATTGCGAACACCTGTGATTGAGGCTGTAAATAATCTGGTAATACAACTTCTATTATCAATAACGTACGTAGAAATTGTCAGTGATTTGTTTTCCGAAATCCTTAGTAGGAAGACAATCCAGTTAGAGGACAGCTTTTCCATGTAAGCAAACTTAGCAAGCCACTTGTTCCTGCTAAAAATCAGAAAATGGTATGGATTCTGTGATCGGGGTGGTGACAGTGACGATGCAAATGGACCTGATTACCTGCATCAGTCTAACGTAATAGTGTACAGTGTAATACTTTGTTGTGACTTGACTTCTACATTTTGATCAATGTGAATGGATTATGTTTACTGTAGCATGACATATTTTTAGATTAATGGAAAAATCTTTAGTTAAAACGAATTCGTTATTTGTGTCAGTGATTGTGATGTTCATATTATGAAACACAATATAGGTCTATAGCTGTGTTAAAAATATATTGAACATGTTCGACAATTTCAAGAAATGGAGACCCTAAAAATTATTTTGCCATGTCGTGGCAATTAAAAAAAGTTACTCAGTATTTGGTATTTCTTTCTTTCTTTTTTTCGGGAGGGGGGTGGGGAGGTGGGGTGTATTTCTAATTGTCAGGGATGAATATACATATATATGACGTGTATATACTAAAAATGCATGTTTACAAGAAAAATTGCTTTTATATTTGTTCATGTTAAGTTAATTGTAATTAAGGATTTGTGTTTCCATTCTCTTTGCAGTAAATCAGCACATAAAATCATAAGTAACTAGATTGAAGAACAGTCTTCGTTTACTGTTCATAGTGCTAGCTGTGGATACTTATGTCTAGAATAATGATAACGTAGTAAAGAGCAAGGAGTTCGTAAAGTAAGCATTTTAGATTGGGGATTTAGGATATTACGATATTTATCGCATACTGTTAGACGAAGGATAAATGTACATGTATATGTATCACATTGACATGACATTAACAGGTATTGGTGGGGAAGTCCTTTCCCCAGCATTGTCGTGCATTTCATATCATGTGTCAAATAACGAATGTGAACAACTCCGTTTGTTTTGGCGTTTTTGCATTGTAGATGTATGTATACACGGAAATATAATTTTTAACCCCCCACCCCCACCCCCACCCCCGAAACTGCGTACATGTTTAAGATTTCGTTCGCTCTTATATATATAATATAAATTTCTTTTACAGTATAACAGGATTTAATTCTTATTTTCACTGTTTAGTTCAATGAATTCTAATAAAAGATAATTCAATTATGCAAGGGACTTTAGTTTCAATCCGTTTGTCCTTAATTACAGTTCAAAGAATAATTATAGCAGACTTCGATCTCGCTTAGCTTGCGTTGGTGTTGGGAAAATTGATAACCCACTCTAATTTATGTTGAATAATCGAATTATTGATTTTAAATGTTTGATTATTTTGAAATTGCTGTCATGTCTTTATTTAATTACATGTATTTACAAACAATATAAACTTTTACATCTTCGGGCCAGTCTACATGCCGGGAGAATCGTAATTCATATTCGCACGTGTCACAATTTTCAAGGTCTATTTCATGCGCGGGTGTAAAGGGGGGATGTCGGATGTGAGTTTTGGCCTCCCTGAAATTATTTAAGAGAAGTGAATTTTCTGAAAATTTGTAAAGTTACTTTGTCCCCGGAAACAAGGGCTCCTCATATAATAGAAAGGAGAGTCGTGTATCTGAAGAAAATTTAGAAACGAAAATGTCTAAAGAGTCTCCCCTCCATGAAATAGGTTTCCCAGGATCGAGCAAAGTGTAATTATAATAGTTGATGTAAACAACACACCCGCCCACCAAAACTTCTCTCGGGAAAATATTTCTGGATCTGCACCTGTGTTGTTGTTTTTTTTTTTTTTTTTTTGGATATCGATCTACATGTATATTTTTAAAGGACAAAAAAGCGTATGCATCTGTAGTGCCTTGGTATTTATAATGGAGTCAGAAATTTGTCATCGCAGGTTAAAAAAAAAACAACTATCTTCGGTGTTTGATTTCTGAGAATAAATTGAAAATAACATGCTAGTTCGTTGCGCCAATTTGTATACCGGCCCATGATCTGATCAGGAGCCCGTGGACTGTGGAATCGTGTACATGATTAGCAGAATTTATAAATGTTGCTGATTTCTGTAATGCAGAATAGAACATGGGTAAACGTTATCGTTTTTTTTTAACCCCGACACTTAGCATCGTTTT